ATCCTTCTGAGAACCCGGTCAGGAGAGTAGTTGTATTAGATTTGGCCTATGCTAAGAGGGTAGAGGTTGATCTAAAAAGACTTGGTTAGAAAATATTATAAATGACTATTTTTATTAGATTTAAATGAGAATTTGATTATTAATAGAACACAATGGAGAAAAAAGATTTATGAAGCTGACCCCACGTATTGGGATAAAGGCTTGATATTGTTGTTGTATAAGTTTGTTCAATAAAGGTTAGACAGAACCCAAGAGGGATTAACATAGTTCAATATTGGGTGGATTATGTCATCCTAAGGTTCCAGATCTTATGCTTCGAATTACAGTTTAGGTTGTTTTATTGGAAATTTTGGTTCACATAAAACTACTATGATTGAGAATATATATATATATATATATTTCCAAGTTTGAAAAGAGGTGCAATATGTATTATTTTATAATGTAAGACTTATCAATCTGCTAAGGATAAAAATAAAACACAGGGATATATGCACATTTAATAATTTCATATAAATCGTGGGAGGATCTTAGTATGGACCATTTTTTAGGTTTACCACTGATATTGGAATAGCATGATCCTTTTTACTTGCATTGACAAATCTTTTTTTTTAATGGCATATTTCACAATTTATGCCATACCATATTTTGTTGTATATAACATTATTAAATTTTATTTTAATTAAGCAGTTAACTTACATGATTTACCTAAACTAAGTTTTGATCACGGTACAAAGTTTACAAATAATTACTTAAAAATTTTTTGGAAGAAAATGAAACACAGCTTAAATTTTCAAGTGCTTATGATCCACAAATTGATGGCCAAATTGAAATGATTAATAACAGCTTAAGAGATATGATGCTGTGGAAATCCTAAAATCAAATTTGGGAGCACCGAAAAATGCAGTTAACATTCCATAAATTTAGGAAACACTCTTGTAAACTACACCCAACATTCTATTAATACCACAAATCACTATCCTGCACAATTTTAGCCACACAATATATTCAACAATATTGAAGCAGATTCAGTAGTTTGCCAACTTATATATATCTGTCAACCGCTTGAGCAGGCCCCATCTGTTGCTTCAGCAGACTGCCAATTGCTTCTCTTTTTTGAGCTATTGTTCACCAGCTATTTGTTATCTTATGGGAAATGGATTTAAATCTTACATTCATTCCATACTGTATTGTAATTGATTAGGCTAATTCTTCTTTTTTTTTTTCCTCCTTCATGGGGTCGGTTGTTTTTTATCTCCTAGTCTTCTTTCTACTATAGGTCCACCAATTAGGCTTTCTACCTCCTATAAAATTTTACCCCTCCTACCTATTGAAACATGGAAAAAGTAGTATTTTTTCTTTTATGTTTTTAAACAATTATGTTATTTGATAAATGATCGTGTATTTGGGTGTTTTGATAATATCTATAATCAAGTTTGTACATAAATCATATATCAATAGGTTAAATCCCATTAGTCCATTTAAGATTTTTATATGGTATCATTCTAGAAAGCCTATAGATATTATTTATCTACTTATACATCTAGGCCTAGTGCATTTGTACAATCATTTGCATAACACATGAAAATTTTGCATGAGGATATTATAAAAATTTGAACGATTTGGTCTTTGAATGAAATGACTTAGCTATCATGAGACCCAGGTTGTTGATAGGAAATACTTGAAATCAAGTATTTCCTATTCACTTCTTGCAACAACTCTCCAAGCAAACTGCTGTCCGGAGCAGGAAAACAGTGAAAAACAGTGGAAAACTGAACAAAAACTGAGAGAAAACGTAGAAAAATAATTGCAAACACTTGTATTCCACTAGTAGATGCAAACAACAAGCAAGATACAATTTTCCTTCAATTCGAGAGGAAGGAAAAACTCTCCAAATCTCTAGTCGTAGCCAAGAGCCCAAGAACACAAACCCTAGATCTCAAATCAAATTCAAATTCAAGATAACTCCTCAATTCCCCCCTATTCCCCTAATTAATCATGAAAGGAGGATTACAAATGTCCTAATTACCCTTCTAATTCAAAATTTCCCTCCCAAAATTGGATTTAACTCCAAGTGGGCCCCATTGGCTTGTCCGCCCCCTCCTTGTTGCCTGGCTTCCGCCGGCTGTAGACCAGGACCGGTCCAGGTTGGACCGGTCCAGCCGGCCCCTCCTGGGCCGGCGTAACAGTTGCATACTTGAAGAAAGAGATAGGACACAAATAGCAACTATTACGATGCCATAAAGAATAGTGTCATAAATATGGTTATTCTCTTACAAGTGATGGTTGGACATCTCATAATGGAACACATTTACTTACTTTCTTGGTGAGTTGTCTAAGAGGAACTACGTTCATAGAGTTAGTTGATGTTTGAATTATTAAGTATATAGAGGAGATTGAACCACCTTGTGTTGATTAAGTGAAATTGATAATACTTCTATGAACATTTTTGTAGGCTAGTGACTCACTTCACACTTGCACTTCATTAAAATTATATATTTTTTCGAGTAGATCATTAAATTTATTGTTAAATGATTTGTGATTTTATTGTATAAAAGTTATTAATGGATAAGTATCCACACTTGTATAGGGGTGTCAATATTTGACACGACACGACAACCCGACCCGAAAAATTCGGGTTGGACCCGACCCGTTTGATAAACGGGTCGGGTCCGGGTTCGCAGATTCAACCCGTTTGATAAAACGGGTCGGGTTGGGTTGACATGGTGGGTTGCCGGGTCAAACCGAAAACCCGTTTATTTTAAAAAAAAAATTGCATTTCCCGCTGCCCGTGCCTGCGCTACCCGCCTGCCCCGTGCTGCAGCCCGCGCTGCCCCGCTGCCCAGCGTGCTGCGCGTGCCAAACCAGCGTGCCGCCGCCTAAGAGGAACTACGTTCATAGAGTTAGTTGATGTTTGAATTAGTAGGTATATAGAGGAGATTGAACCACCTTGTGTTGATTAAGTGAAATTGATAACACTTCTATGAACATTTTTGTAGGCTAGTGACTCACTTCTCACTTGCACTTCATTAAAATTATATATTTTTTCGAGTAGATCAGTAAATTTATTGTTAAATGATTTGTGATATTATTGTAGAAAAGTTATTAATGGATAAGTATCCACACTTGTATTATTCTCTTTGTTCCACTTATTTGATTTAATAATGGAAGGTATCCTTAAGATTCAATGACCGAGGATATTCTTTGAGAAGGCGATAGCTATGCGTAGTTTCATTTATTCAAGGCCATGATTGCTTAACTTAATTTGGAGATATATAATTCAAAGATCACTTATTAAGTTTGCTAAGAATCATTTTGCTATTGCCTTTTTGACATTACACTGTTTTTATCAGTAACAAATGAATTTGAAGAAAATGTTTATATGTGGGGAATTCATGTTGGGTCTTTATTCAAAGGAAACTAAGGCATAAGAAGCACAAAAAATTATCTTGAACTAATCTTTTTGGAATATCGTGGTATATGCACTCAAAGCAGGTGGTCCTTTGTTGAAGTTCTTTAAACTGGTTTATATAGAAAAAAGTCTCGATGATTACATATATAAAGTGATGGATAGGTCTAAAGAAACAATTGCTGCAAGTTTTACCTACAAGGATATGTATGAGCAAATTTTAGAAATCATTTATAAAAAATAGGAATCCAAAATACAAGGATATAGTTGATGGGTTATATGCATGTATTGGAAGAATGACTAAGGATGTCGATGAAGAAGATAAAATTAATAATTAGCTTAGTGTAAACATTAGGGGTGAAGGAATTTTTGGTATTCCTCTTGTTGTATGACAAAGGACAACTCGGGCGCTAGGTGATTTGATTTTAGTAAAATTATAATTAGTTTTGAATAATATTTTGATATATAATAAAACTCGTTAAATACTTCCATCTGGTTGGTGGCTAGTGCAGGCCCAAGCAGCTCCACATTTACAAAGTTTTGTTATCACATTACTTAGTCTTACTTATAATTCATCTGGATGTCCACAATTGAAATGTATTTGAACATCTATGTACATGATAAAATTGTATATTGATTATTATCATGAAACTTTATAATTTAGTAATTTTAATAATTTTTTGTTGTAGTTTCATAAAAAAAGGATGAAAGATGGATCATGGTCGCTCAAATATTTGGTTTATATGAAATATAATAGGGCATTAATTTCAAGGTACAACCTTCGTGATATTAGTGACCCTATTTCTTTAGTGTTATAGATGATGCTAAGAGTGTTTAACATTAAAAATGGATGTTGATTAAGACGAAGATAATTGATTAGTAATTGATAAGAAAGATTGGACTTGGAGTATTGTTGCAAAAGCTAGTGGTGTTTATGAAATAGACTACAATATTTGAGAGCAATAAAAAGGCAAAGAGAATGAATCTTTATATAGGCGTAATTCTCTTGCAATTAAACATGAAAATAATGAGGGTGACGATGAAGATTACGCTTTAGAAGATAATTATAATATTGATGAAGAAAATGATTTTTTGTACTTATGATGATGCTGAGTCTCGAGAGCACTGTTTTATTTTTTTTAAATATTAGACTTGGAAAGTAACAGAAATTTTAAATTTAAAATGGTTGAGGCATTGAGTACTTTAAATTATCTTTTTTTTTACTACAATGATGGCTTATCTTTCAATCTAATATTCTTTCCTATTTAATTGTATTTTTATTTATAATTTTTTTCTAATTTCTGCCATGTTTAAAATAGGGCACTGCGCCATGCTATATGTTGTTAAAAATGGTATTTAGCGTATTTGCTAGGTTTCAAACTCACCAAAGAACAGTTTTTTTTTTTTTTCACCAAAGAACAGTATAATACTATTTGAAAGTGTTTAGGTTTTATTACATAAGGTCTTGAGGCATTAAACCATCTCAGTTTTTTCATCAATTTCAGTAGTTTTTATCTATATCTTGTGGCTCAACATTCCACAGTCTGTAAATTGAGATGCTCCGTCTAGTTATAATACATGCTATCATTTTTTGAAACTGTTATGGGCAATGATGATTTTTGTTAGTCACTGGAAATTCTATCTTACTTTTTACCGCCTTCCACAGCTTGGTATACTTCTTCTAGTTTGTCTTATTCTAGCTGGGGCATGGTTTGGATATTGGGGTGTTCGCAAGCTGGTTCTGACCGACGAGGGTCTAGTAGACACCGATGTTGCCTATTTTGTTAAATGGGCAGCCCTAATTTTTGCTGGCATCATGATCCTTCAGGTCATTTTCTTTATGCTTTTTCTTATATGGTATTGTTGTCCTATTATATGCTTGTAGAGTCTTTCGGCTGTGATTCATCGATTGAATTACTTTGATTTCCTGCTCAAAAGAAGGATCTGTTGTTTCCTTGCTTGACTTGTTTCATTTTTAATTTGCAGAGCTCCTTGGATGTTAGTCTGGCTGCTCAGGCGCTAGTTATTTCTATTATAACATCTGTTGTGTCAAGAACACATAGGAAATTGAATTTCTCGAATCGCTTGTTCAGGTAAGCATGTGTCTTGTGATTTTTCCCTTTTTAAAACCATTTAATCTTAAAGGATCATCATTATTATTATTGTTGTCATCATCAACTTGATTTCAGTTATTTATTTACTGGTTAATCCTCCTCAAATCATTATTGTTGAGTGTGGAACTAAATCAGGTCATATCACTTTTGGTATTCATCTTTTCCATTTCTTTGTTATTACATTAATTATATGTACCTATTTTTTTTCATCTACGGCCCTATGATCGATACTTGAGTTTTGATTTTAGGTTTGTAACTTTCATTTGCTTTCATGATATTCACTTGTGTTGTCTTACTCGTTACTCATTTTTCTATTTTAACCATCCATTTATAACCACATATTGTTTATCTACCATGACATTATTTTGCATGATATATCAAAGGTATTTAAAACATTTAGGTTTCAATTGGTCTTTCGGATTAACTTAATAATAATCATTTTCAGTATCACTCATGTTGCATATCAACTTTTCATTATTCCACTAATCTTAAGCCCCTTATATTTTATGATTATTGTTCAAACATTTTGCTTGCATTAGAAGACATCCCACCTATAATGTTAATGTTCAAATTGTACATATTAAGTTACTTTTTTCAGCACCTTTTATATTCATTTTCATAATTGATACAAAAAGACCCGCGTGATGTTGATTTTATCATTAAATTTGCTATGCTTATAGTTAATATGATTTTGTTAAAAAAAGGGATTTATAGAGCAATCAATCTATCTAATTGTTTGCTTAATTTCTCTCATTTAGTCATTTTTTTTTAAATTTTGAATTATTTAATGTATTTTTATTTTAAATATTTCAAGCATTTATGCTTCTTAGCTGAGCATGAGCCATCAATTGCTTGTCACATTGCTCATGGAATCCTTAACGTCCTCTAGAACTATTGACTCCATGATGCCATCTTAGAATTGGGCCAGAGCCTCACTTTCCTCAAATAAATAGCCACCCAGAGAAATTGACTATTGGAATCAACGACCTTCTGCCAAACTACCCTAAATCGTTTGAACTCGTTGTTACTAAAGAAATGTAGCAGCATACGCGCTCTTTTATTTCATGCCTTTGTCTAATGTCACAATAATCAACACAACTGTAGTAAGACCCAGATCAATTTGAAAATGAGCTTTGTTGCTTGAGTCCCCTCATAAGCAACCACTTAGTGTTTGCCATGTTAACCAGAGTTATGTGCCTAATAACTAATTGAAAGTGGCTATAATAAGTTTAAATAAAAATTAAATAGTCTTTGGAACCAATCAGACAATCCATGCCAGCTTTATGGCTTTAATAAACTGCTAATTGAGATTCTAGCTCAATGTTGAGAGCTTTTTATGTTATGCGTCACTCATAAGATTGACGCATCTATAGTGGCCTCACACCATTTGCTAAGTTATACTTTTTGGAGGCCCTGGTGGTGCCAGCAAGCGCCACATGATTTTCAGATGGAAATCATCTAGATTCTTTGGGAGTACCACTTCATCACATAAACCCCATAATGTCAATGGGCCCTTTGATCAGTTGATCCTACTTACCATGTGTCATTCTCAAAGGGCAAATGTATTTCTGTCCTAATGAAACATTACCAAGGACCTGGGTTCCATCTCATTGGGTTTGAGTTATGTAACTAGGTCTTGGCTAAGTTTTGATTGGCATGTACAAAAGGCACTCATTGCCATCATCATCATAATCATCACCCTCATCATACACACTTTGGTTTTCATGAACATAAACCACATTGATAAGCATGTACATTCAGAGAGACGTTATTTCCTAAATTTTTTATCTCCCTTGTTTTGGCTGGTTGAAAGTGACATTGTGCTTAGGCAACAATTTGCTTTATTTCAATTGCTGAAATTTCAATTATTTCCTTTGGAATTTGAGAAGACCATAATCTTACATAAATGAGTTTTATCCATTTTTTATTTTTTATTGAAAGTAATGAATAAGAGGTAAAGAATTATATAAAAATTGAATTAAATGAAATTCAATTAATTTAAAAAAAAAAAATTGTTTTGCGGGTCCTTCAATTACTCCTCCGTCCTCATCCTGTGATGTTACAACTGTGTTATCTAATGTTTCCTTCGAATTTCAGTCCTAGAGGTTGACGATGATTCAAATCTGGTTCAGTCTCAAGATTCTATTAGGAGTTTATTTAGTTTAATGAATAAGATATTTCAGCTAGTGTTTTCTCTTCTAGGAACAGTCCAAAATTAAAATAATAATAATAATAATCTCCATGCTCTCGGATTTACTACATTCACAGTTAATAGCGATGATAACTCCATTGATGACTTCGCCATTATAGACGTAGCAAGGTATTGCAATGTATTTTGGTCCTTTGCTTTTTTTGTTGGTAGTCCATTGCTTTTTTTGTTGGTAGTTCTTTGTGAATTTCGCTCTTGTAATTTTTTTATTGACTGATAATAAAAATTCATCGCCATCAAAAAAGAAAAAAAAGCTTTGAGTGAAGTAGTGAGGTTTTGAACTGCCAAGCATTTATGACGATTGCCAAGCTGTGAGTGAAGTAGTGAACATCTGTTTTTTGGGTGGTATTTGAACTAGCCCCCTTCACTTGTTGAAATTTTTGTTGATTTAAGTTTGAAAATCTTTGGAAGGTGTTACTCATTACTAAGAAAGAGAGAGGGATAGGGAAGGATGAGAGGGAGATGAGATTAATAATAAAGAAACAATGAGTATGTTTCTCTTCCGTTACACATAATAGTCCGTGGCTTCTTCTATTTTTCTCTCTTTCTACACAAAATAATCTGTTGTGTGACTCTTCTATGATGCACCGACACTTTTCTTCAAAAAGGCGTGCAATGTCCGACACGATTTTATGATATTTACTCAAATACTAAACGTGCTTTTGCTCGGCGGTCAATGAAACCTTCAGGTTTCACATTGCTCTCTCTACTTGCGTTCCAGTCATCCTATATTTTTGTAAATTTTTTTAGATTTGATTCTGACTGTTGAATATTTTGCAGGATGATCTTCAAATTTGTTTATACTATTTTTACTACAATTCAATTCCCAAATCCTACAAAGTACAAACGATGGTTTCAGGAATTCAATTTCGCTCAAAACAATTCAACTAATATAGGTCTTTATTTTTACCAGATTGTCAATATTTAAGGTAGTTTTCTTCTTCTTCTTTTCCTTAGTCCATTTTTTATACTTTTGAACAGGCATGAGGAGACCCAATATCACATTAGAAGGAGACAACTACTACTCTACCTTCCACAGGACACCAGAAAGGAAAATATTCAATAAGGATGAGTGGGAAACATTCACTAGAGCAGAAACTAGAAAAGCTTTGAGGGAGTTAGTCTCTTCCCCTGATTTCAGTAGATGGGCTGCAAATAATGCCGAAAGAATCACTCTGACCCCTCCACCTGATGCCAGAAGAATAAAAAAGCGTCGCCTTTTTGGATGGTGGTCTTAGGCTTCATTTGGGATGACTTTCTTTCTGCTTCTTAAAACAGTTTTCGTGTAAAAATTTAAAAATTTTGTACTAGAAAGCTGCTTCATGAAGTAGTAAAAAAATCGTCCCAAACAAAACCTTAGTATTTATTTCAGAATAATCAGGTAATGATCATGTAGCAATTTGTTCCGAATGTTTTATATGTAGGCTTTCTTCATATTCATGTTTGTAGCCATTTTTAACATTGAAGAGCTCTTTTTTGGTGCTCTTTCACTTAGCTAGATTGTTTGCCTAGATCATTGTAGTAAAAAGCTGTAGAAAAGAAAACAAAACGGTAATATGAGAACAGTAATTGAAATTGATTCGTCTTTACTGGGTTCATTGCTTGTGTGCCAGTTAGTCGAGAAATTATTAGGTGCGGAGTCGGGACGTAGAGATACGTCCGGACATCCATTTAAAATTTAAAACATGTAGTGCGCTTTGGTTGCGCTTTTTTTGTTTGTTTTACCGGCATTTTTGTTGCATTTTAATTGCGCGTTCACTGCTCTTTTGTTGTGTTTTTTTACTACGATTTAAAAAATATGATGATTAAAAAAATTATTGCCGTACTTTAAAAAATATGTATTTATAGCATTCAAAATAATATTAAAATATTATATGCTTGTTTAATATTTTTAAGATAACCTACATAAAAAAACTTTTAGTGATTTACATGAAAGCGTTTATATAAGCTTGGAAATAATACTTACATGAATTGAATCACAATACGATGTGTCGCACAAACCCTAAATGCCCACCTCATTTCCATAAAAGGAAAATATTATATATTTCAAATAAATTCAATTAAAATTACTGATATTTACATATTTGTTTATAATATTAACTAGTAATTCAAGAAAGTGGATATTTATGTAATAAGATATAAGGGAAACAATTAAAATAATGCCTTATTAAATAAGAAATAAATAACAAAGAAAAGGATGTATTTTTACAAGGTATTTATTATATAACAAATATAAATGAATAATTATTCAAATTTAATCATTTCCCTGGTCAATTTTTAAAATTTTATTTCAAATATAAATAACATTTATATAATTAAATATTGATCAAATTTACAAGGAGCTGCAATCTTATCAGCCCAACCAAACAAGCAAATAAGCTAGAAAAATAAGCCAAGTCTAACAGTGAACTCCATAAAGCAAGTTACATTGCAAAAGACAGTTCTCACACAGCATAATCAAACGTCTGCAATTCATTGATACAAATTAAAATACATAATAAAAGTAACTTAATCATTCAATACAAAAATTTTAATGGAGGATCAAAATGCCCATACAAGGCAAAAAACATGAAGCAATACCAGCATAGTAATCTTATGGCAGCATAGTTATCTCTGCAAGGTACAACAAAATTAAAATGAATCAGTGAAAAAAATCAGGAAAGAAAAAATGAAAGTTCCAAACTTTTATTATAAAATAATGTGGCTAATTAGAAGGTTTAATCTGTGAGCGCAAACTTACAGATTTTGTTAAACGCCACAATATCACAACTTTGGATGTGCTCATTTGCAGGTTCAGAGGTCAGGTGATCCTCAATGAGGTTATCAACTGACACCAAGTCATCCACGATGGTCATCATAATCTGTAATTTCTTGATTCCATATCCAACTGGAACAAGCTTTGCTGTAACATCAACAACAATAGTAACTAAATTTCCAAAATATTATCATAACATCATCAGGTTATGTACGTCAGCCAGTTAAACATGTTCATCATGTTACCCAATGTGGTTCTGCTTACTGATCTAAGTTAACGGGGATGGTACCTTGATGGATCCTTGGCTTCTTGACTCCTCTATTGGAGAAATTATTATGTGCGGAGTCCGGTTATGTCCGGACTCCAATAAAAACATGACATGTGTCCTTGTATACAGTGTGTATTGTGTACAACTGTACACACTATAAACAAATTACAAAATTAAATGCATAGTATGTACAAACTTATATACATAATATATGTGTATACAATATCTACAAATTTATACACATTATGTATAAAAACACATACAAGTTTTTATTGGAGTCCGGACGTAACTCTACGTCCGGACTCCGCACGTAATGATTTCTCCCTCTATTGAGCTTCATTTTGATACACAAGATTTGCCATTAGTTATCTTATGTTGAGCTTTTGTTGTACACCATATGTGCTATTCTTTATGTAATTGTTATTGCTGGTGTTTTAAGTCTTTCTTTGTTAGTCTTACCGTATAATTGTAAATTTTATCATCAATGAAATCTAGGTGCGACTTAAATTTCTCGAAAAAAAAAAAAAAAACTTTAGCTCAATTGCAATAACTTTGCACTAAATCAATCAAAATAGCACAATATAAATTATACAGTGCCAAACAGGACATCATATTCATCATTCCAAGTAATCAAACTTCAATCTATTGAGTTAAGAACATTGTCAATCCAACTCACTTGAGGGGCCTTTGTTACCAAATATAGGACATCATCAAAAATACCGGTAGATTTTAGCCAAAGGACACAAATTTCCTATATTTTAATTTTAGCCACTGTGATGTACAAATCAAAATGCTAGATTGATTACACTAAAAAAAATCTTGCATGGATCAAGAATTTTTTTTTTTTTTTTGAAATGATCAAAACTTTAATTTAATAGGGATAAGGATAAAATGCTCATAATTTAAACTTCATTTCCATTAAACAGATAACTTTGCGCCAAATCAAGCAAACAAGCAGACGTAATATGAACAGTAGGACAATTTGGTTACTTACAGGCACCCCAAAGCAAGCCATCCATTTTCACACTCCTGACTGCTTCTTCAAGCTTCTTCATGTCAGTCTCATCATCCCAAGGCTTCACGTCCAATAAAACTGATGACTTTCCACCTGTTTTAAGGAAAGAATATGTAGAAATTAAAATAACAATGTCGAGAACAGAACAATCAAAATGCAAATCTACAGCTATCTGCAGGTTCATCATACTTAAGAAGAAACAATATGTTACCTGATTTACCATGTCAGATAATATATGCATATAAGAAAACAAGCTCAATGTCTTACTTTCTTTCTTCTTTCCAGATGCTTTCACAGCAGCTGCACGCTCCTCAGCAGCCTTCTTTTCCTCCTCAGTTTCCTCACCAAATAAATCAACATCATCATCATCATCATCGACAGCAGCAGAGGCCTAGAGTTCAAGATAACCAATATAAGAAGAAAGTGCAGAACAACTCAATAGAAGTTGTCTAGAATTGTGGGAAACTTCGACTAAGCGAATAAAACCAGTAACTGAGAGGAATCTGAACAAAAGAAAACTTGCAAAAGGATGTTAGGAAAAAGCATCAAAGAGATGTTTAAGGCTTCGTTTGGGACGGCTTTTTTATTGTTTCTTAAAATTTTTATACTAAAAAGCTGCTTTAAGAAGCAGTAAGAAAGCCATCCCAAACGAAGCCTAAATTTTTTTATTTGAAATTATTCATAAAGGAAAAATCATACAGTCATTAGTTAACAAAGCATCATTGCAATTCATAGAATGATTCGTACTGCGAAACTGACAAGACAGGGTCATCACCTTGGTGTCAGCAATAGGTGGAGAGGCTGGAACTTCCTCAAATACAGTGGCAGACCCTGTAACTTGCACGCCTTGTCCCTCCCCAGATACACCGCTGTACAGGAGACAATGTGAAAACAATACAAATTCAATACCAAGCTGACAACTAAACAAAATGGAAATATCAACTATGTTGAAGAATATACCTCAACCTCAACAGGGCCTCAATGTGGTTATACCATCTGGAAACATTAACATAATCTGATGAAGGTGGACCAGAGAGTTCAGCATGTACAGCAATATCATCCTTTGAAGCTTGGTAGCTAATTAATTTTTTAGTGATGTGTCAGCAGGTTAAAAAGAAAGAAGGAGAAGTACGCGAAAATGATCAATAGATGGGGATCAAGAAGGCAACCCTGTGATATAGCTTCGAGGAAGGAGAAACTCATCGAGCTTTTTGAGTCCAGATGCAGACTTGAGGTCATGGAAAGTCACAGCCATAACTGCTAAACTTGCTTTTTCACCTGAGGCATGTAGAGCCAACAAAATAATCTCAAATCCTCCAAAATTTGAAGTATTTATTTACATTACAAACAACAAAATCACAATCACATGAGACAGTTCGAGTACTACAGATAGATATATGGTTACAAAAAGGTTTCTCAGAGGGGAAATTAGCTATAGGAGAGGTTAGGCAGTAAATTACAAACTTTTAGACAACTAATCTTACCATATACCTTGAAGGCTAATTGTGAATCTGCATTTTTTAAGTACCCAAATCAAGCTAACATGTCAAATCTATCTAACCCAATTGCGCCCCCAATCAGATAAATTTTGATAGGATAGGGAAACAAGCACAATCAACTTAAATATTTAATAAGAATGAAAACAAAAAAATTTAATCGGAGTTAAGGTATGAGGGAGGTGAAGTTGAATTTAAGATTCTGTAGGATTTAAGTTGATTATCCTTGATTACAAAAAAAATATATATTATTGGAACTTACATGTTAAACTAAAAAAACACTCTTTTTTATCAGAAAGGGAACAAATCAGCAGCTTCCAACAAATTTCCCCCAAAAAAACTGAATTTCTCTGAATAATTGTTTCCATAACTTGCAATATTGGGACAAATATAATATCTCATATCTAAAAAACAGAAATAAAACTAGTTTGGTATAAAATCAGAGCACAAGTAATCAATCCTAGGAAGCAGAAGATTGAATAAGTTCAAATCGCTCTGGGTCTGAACTCTCGACATAAATCCATTGAGATTTGAAACATCAAGAAAGAGCATATATCATAACATATCGCTGAATAGAAAAGCATAGAAAGTTAAATTCCGGGAAGAAGGATCGTGATGTCACCTTTTTAAACCGTGGAGCTGAGGCGACTCGTCCAGAAGGGGCAAAAACTAGGGTTTTGGAAGAAGATGGCCGCCCAATTCTGAGAGCCTCAAGGAGACGGGCTGTTATTTATATATGCGACGCGCTTTCCATCGTAGCCATTGAATTGATTTGGAAAGCTGTTTTTGCGGGGTTTAATTTAGGCTTTGTTTGATCCAAAGTTTTTGGTACTTATTTTGTTTTAAAACGGTAAATTTATTATTATTATTATTATTATTTGATTCCTCAAATCATGTTCCTAATGTTTTTTTAATATTTTTTTACTATATTGAAAAAGCTTTTTATATATGATTTTTCGTTATAAAATTTCATTTTCTGAATTAATGTTTCTTAAAACTGTCTTTTATAAAAGTATCAAATAACCAAATGAACCTTTAATATTACTCAAAATTATAAATTTATATTTTTAACTTCTAAAAGTTATTATTTATCAATATTTTTAAAGTTGGACCGAACCGGCTGGTTCAACCGGTTGCCGGCCAGTTATGGTTCATAGTAAATTTGCTATCACATAAAATCGGGGTTAAACAGCTCAAATCGGCGGTTTGACTGTCGAATCGGTTTCCGATAACCAGTCGGTTCAGCTACAATGACCTTTAGCGAAATTGAGAAGATCTGATGGCTGAGATGCGAAGGCGGCGAAGCTTTATGCAAAAAAAAAAAAAAACCCTATTTCATTCGTCGCGTATCTATTCGCCTTTTCTTCTTCGGCTCTTCCCATCTCGAGGCATCTCCTTCTCGTTCACGAAGCCAACGACACACCGTCTCAATGGCGCAAAGCCAACGACACACCGTCACGATGGAGGTAATTTCCAGAAGACATCATCGAAGAGGCCTGCTCTTTGTAACGTTTGTTTCTAAAGTAGTTTTTTTTTTTTTTTGTCAAATCCAGATACATGAATCAATAAAATGTATTTTTTTTCATTATGTTTTTTATTTCATTTTCCTATTCTAAAATGCAAAATATTTTTTCGAAGTTCAGCTCATTCAGCATATCTACTTCGGTTATGAACTTCTTCTCTAATTTCGACATATCATCTTCGGTGTGAAGATAGAAGTCAAGTCTCGGTGAGTTCAAATTTCAATTTATTGGTAGTATTTAGGATATGATGAAACTCCTATTTTCATATAGTTATTGCACATTGTGCTTTTGTTAAGACAATTTTCTTTTATAACAATCTCATTGTGTAAACTATGTTGATTATCAATGTAGGCTGGTAACATGACAAGGGTTATTTGCTTAGCTGTTGATTAAGGCTTCGTTTGAGACGGTTTTCTTACTGCTTCTTAAAGTAGCTTTTTAGTATAAAAATTTAATTTTTGTACAAAAAAGATGCTTTAAGAAGCAGTAAGAAAGCCGTCTCAAAGAAAGCCTATGTGTGATCCCACAGTGCTTTTAGACTCTAGATTAGATAATTCAAAAAAATATTTGGCACTAACAACCAGCCATATTTTTCTGTTTTCCAATTCTCAATTTCTTCATTTCATCTATTCTATAATGTCTCTTCTGTCACCTCCCCTCAAGTTTCTCTTTTAGCACTCGTTTGTCTCTTCTCTCAAGCCTCATCTCCCTTCCATTGTATAGCTATATGTTTGATGTCAAGCATGTAAAAACATGTGGTAATAAGTCAATCTCCCACATTATAAACAAACTATCATCCTTATAAACCACTTTGTGATGATGTTGCTGAGGACATTGTTATAGTTTGATGCCTTTGAGGAATGATAGTTTAATAATTTCTAAATTATCAGGATCTCTAATAAGGTTGTTAAGAATTGTTGATGCAGATGAAAAGTCATATCTTGAATACATTTATGATGGCATGTACAGAGCTAAAAAAGCAATGAAAGTCGTGTTTAGAAACATTAAAAGAATGTACAAGCCATTCAGTAGTATCGTTAAGAGAAGATGAGATAATCAGCTGAGATAAGGGGTACATTCAACAACTTATTTTCTCAACCCTCATTTTCAGTATGACAAGAAAAATTATTACAACAAGCCTGAAGTTATGCAAGGTCTAATAGAATTGATTGCAATAAAAATATTTGTGCTAAACCATATTTGAAAATGAATGAGGTGAGCCTATTTTGTAATGATTTAGAAAGTTTTAGGAAGCCAATTGCATTAACATTGGCAAAAGAAATGCAACCTGATGAGATGACAAAATTTTGTGATTTCATTTTAATATTTAAGTGAACTATGATGCTTTTATTTACAATAAATATATTTGAACAAATCAATGCATGTTTATTTATTTGTAGATGAATGGTAGAAGATGTTCGACTCTAGTGCACCAAATCTACATAAATTGACTATTATAATTCTTAGTCATATATCATCTTCATCAGACTGTGAGAGGAATTGGAGTGTGTTTGAGCAGAGTCATACAAAAAGATGAAATCATCTTGAGCATTAAAGGCTAAATGATCTAGTATATGTTCGTTACAATCTCAATTTAAAAATATGTACTATTTGAAACCATTTTAAATATATTTTAAATTATGATGAACATCTTTTTATCAAAATTTTTTATAACAATTATGTAGGTTGCAACTTAGAAAAAGAAGTTATGATCATTTGAACTACACAAGTATTGAACTTATTAACTTTTTGAACCTTGATGATGAGTCATCTCCATAATTACATTTAGAAGACTTTGAGACAAAAGTTTATAAAGATGATGCAATTCTTATAGATATAGAATCAAACATAACATCAACTAGATCAACCCCAAGTAAGATTGTAAAATAAGTTATATCTTTTGAGTGTAACATAAAATATAACATTATTATTTCACATTAATGGTTTGCAGATGAATACAACTTAGCTAGTACATGTGATGAAGATGACATACCATATGAGGATGCATAAGCATTTGTGATACAAGATTTTAATGAAGGAGGATTTAGGAATCCATCTTTTGATCTCACAAATTTTATTGATGATTATTAGATTCATTAGGAGTGTTTTGAGTTTTGAGTCTTTATTGTAAACATATATAAACAATTGAATGACAATCATTACTTTTTGTCTCTATGTATTAAGTTTCTAAATTTATGATCTCTAAGATTAGTTTGATATGAAAATGGAATGTGGAGTGAATGTATTAGAGTAAAAATTCTAATTCATTTTATTAATTTTTATTAATATTATTATTTATCATGTTATCCGGTTCGACCAGTCAAACTGTGGACATCTCTTTCTTCTGATTCATTGTCCGATCTGATTTTCATAACCTTGCTATTTATATAAATATATAATATTTAAAATTGTAAATAACATAGAAATAATATGTTATAGTTATACACCCTTTTCATTAGAACTTTTAAATTAAAAATAGAAATTAAATTAGTTTATATATTTAAATAAATTTATGTGTGTTTTTTAACCCTTTCATTTCTCATAAAATATGACCAAGAGTTTTAGATAAAAAGGGAGATAAAATTGAAGTTTGAAAGCCTTATAGCCTATTTTAAGAGATTTTATTATATGTGGAGTCTAGACATAACTCTACGTTCGGAGATCAATTAAATTGATGATGCGGCCTCACATTAACTAGTCTCCTCCGCTAGCTCACATGATACCCATGTGATGGGTTTTTACACTATCAGTACCATTACTCTTTTTCGTTGCTGCCAGCTTAACTAAAAATAGGCCATAGTACATCCATTAGCATATTATCTCAGTTTTCTGTTTTTAGTAGTTGAACATCCTAAGGGTGTAGTAAGAAAACGATGAAGAAGAAAGGCTCTCAGAATATTATTATCACAGTTTATACAGGTTTAGAAAACCTTTGGTCTCTATTTTCTTGTGTTTTGTTTCTTCTCCAGGTCATAAAGCTTCTACAGCAACTTGGTATCAGAGCCTTGAGCTAGGATAAGGAGCGGAAGAAATGGCGGAGAGTAGCAAGGACATTCCCCTTGACGACGATCAGGGTGAGAGCGCATTGTGGGCGGCACAATCCAAGATACTCAAATAGTTGGAGGAACTCAAGAATGACTTTCGTCAAATTACCACAGAAATGCATCTATAACTTCAAAGCCTCAGAGTGGGATTTGTGAACATATAACAGGTGGCTCGGGACACCTCGCCTGAGCGTCGACTTGGCCCCCGGGGAGGACGTCAGTCAGGTCGGCCACATACAGATGCACAACTGACGGTCTTGATTTTACAGTCTCTGACATAGAGATTGAGTTCCAACAACAAAGTTATTTATCTGATTCAATGGAGGAAGAAGTACCACTGGAGAGGCCACGCAGATATCGGGTGCCGCATAGACCACAAGGAGAATTCTGTGTGAAAATGGATATTCAATTTTTTGAAGGCAGATTACACGTCGAAGACTATCTTGATTGGGAGCATTCAGTTGAAACTTTTTTTGAATACATGAATATCCCCGTGGATAAACAAGATGGTGGTAGTCTGATGGATATCGGTGGCTAGATGGTGGTTCAACAACGATTGGCAGTCAGGTAGTGGTCTAATGGTGGTCAGTGGTCGGGTGATGGCCCGGTTGAAGTTCAGTGGAGATTTGTAGAGCTATGACAAGGATCGATGGAAGTCTAAAGGATTCGGAGGTGGTCCAAAGATGATTCGCGGAAGTCCGATAGATATCGGTAAAGGTCTGGCGGGTTGGGCGACAGGAGTTCACATACGGCGGTGCTTGGGGGGAGCTCTAGATTCTTAAAGCCTTAGAGATCTGTCTGATCTGCAGCTAAAAGGTTCCTTTCATGTAGAAAGTGAATTTATATATTTTTATGAGTTACATACCCTGTAAATATGGACAAGATCTAGAACATGTTTGCAGTGTTCCATTGGATGACTCATACTAATCCCCTTAATCAAATAATATTTTTCAAGCATTTTATATGCTTTCATGATGCTAGAATTTGGTGATCTTGAGCTTTTTGGATTCATCTTATCGAGCCGCTTGATTCGACTATAAGCATGACATATTTAAAGATCATTTAGACATCCAATTAATGCTTTAAACATTTAAAATAGCCTTGATTTCTTGATTTTGACCCATTTTGGCTTGCATCGAACCAATTTCAGTGTCATTGTGTTTGTTTATTTGAGATGTTCAATATGACTATAAGTTTGTTGAAATTAGAATTTGGATGATCCATAATTAAATTTTGAAAGTTTCTAACTTGGATATGCGTCGAAATTCGTGAGTGATCAAATTAATTTTTGGTGATGTATCAAATATTATTTTGAATCTAAAGCATATGAGATTATTAAATTATCAAGAAGATTTGACAATTCATTTGAATTTTATGTTTATACTACAATGACACAATAATTTTATCGTAAGTCATTTTAATTAAAAAAATATTAAAATGCAATGAAATATAGTTAAATACAATTTTTTAGGTTATAGACAACTGTAGTGATTCCAAAGATAGAGAAACAAATGCTTTTATATTTAACTTATTTAAAATAAAAATTTCACTTGTAGTATGAATGATCTAAAATACACATCACTAAATATCACACTCAATAAATTAAGAAATTAATCATTATATGAGAAATGCAAACTCTCAACTTTCCGCAATCCGCTTCCTCCCGCTTCAACCAATAAAATCCGAGATTTCTAAATCCAACGGCCAGCGATGAAATAAATCCTTGTTATCGGATCGCTACTGCATCCAACGGTTACAGAGGCATACCGCAAGCTATTAAATAGCTCTCCCCATCTACTTCCCATCTTCACCAACGATTATCCTCTCCCAGTATCTGAAAAGTTCTTCGACAACAAGCGAAATGTCTGGCAGAGGAAAGGGAGGCAAGGGTTTGGGAAAGGGCGGTGCGAAGCGCCACCGCAAGGTTCTCCGAGACATCATCCAGGGAATCACGAAGCCGGCGATCCGGCGGCTGGCAAGACGTGGTGGCGTCAAGCGGATCAGTAGTTTGATCTACGAGGAGACCCGTGGCGTTCTGAAGATCTTTCTTGAGAATGTTATCCGTGATGCCGTCACCTATACGGAGCATGCTCGCCGGAAGACTGTCACAGCCATGGACGTAGTCTATGCGCTCAAGCGCCAGGGGCGTACTCTTTATGGCTTTGGCGGGTAAAAAGCTAGGGTTTGTGGTTGGGGTTTGGGTTATTCGGATGTGTAGTTTTTTACTGCTTTAATGTACTAAGATGTTTGGCTTTTATATCAGAATCTTATGTCACCGTTTAATGATAATGTATTTTGATCTATGAATATGTGTTGTGAAGCGCATGAAATCCTTTTGAGGTTTTTAGAATTTATACCGTTCATTAGTCTGATCTCATGTTCTTATTAGTTTTGGCTCAAATTTATACTAATCTGAACGAATTGCAAGTGCAAACATAGCTATTTCATGCGTACTGGTTGGATACTTTATGATGTTTTTGCAATATTTTTGCCATTTGTAATGTCCTATATGGTTATATAACAATCCAGATGGTGAGTGTATTATACCGAGTATAATTTTATACATATTTTGATTTTTTTTTTAATATTCATAGCTCTCATGCAACTATTCTTGCCCCTCGATTTATAGATTTGAGGTGAACGAAGTAAGGAAAATTTTATTGCTTTTGTTTGGTGTAAAGTGGGTGTTTAGGGTCAAACAGATGTAGAACAGTAGATTTGAACTTAGTTCGTTCACCTCCTTTGAGCTAAGGCCTTTTAGTTCAGGGTCAACTATCAGCCAATAACCCTAGAAGAGCTGCAGTTAGGGAAATAATCAGCTTTATAATTAGTCAGATTAATGAGCCAACAAAAATCTTTCAAATTAAGGCTGAGTTGAATTCGTAAAGATTTTCAAATCAGCATCAAATCTCTCTTCTTTAATATTTCAATCCTGCGCGGTTGATCTTTATACATGTAAGATATATTTCTAATAAATATTTCTCTTCTTTAAGAGCTCTTAGAAACGCTCGTTTTCTGGTTTTGGCTTTCTCTAGCTCTCATGCAATAGCTCTTGCCTCTAGTTTTACATGACGCTTTTCTTTAACAAATTGGGAAATTTTCTTTTTTAGGGGACATTTTTTTTTTGAGAAAAAAAAAAAAATAGAGGAGAAAGATTTCCAAAATTTTCCATAATGCCATTCACATTTCCACCAAAACTAATAGGGTGATTAACATTAGCGGAAGTAGTAATTAGAAGAGAGGATGGAGGAGGCCGACATTCACCCTTCAAGTGACCTATCGATTTACATTGAACACAAAATGGAGGAAAAGTCTTCAGTTCGATATGTTGAATATACTCGAAATTTTCTGGACCAAGCCCAACATGGTTATGGTAGTTTTTTGTGATGTCTATCTCAATCAAAACACAAGCCACGGAAGGGTGAGATCCAATAGAAGTCACATTATCAATTTTGAGAGGTCTTTCAAACATTGAACCCAAACCGTGCAGTATACAAGGTGAAAGTAAGCAAAACAGTAAATTAGGGAAAGAGATCCAGATAGTGATTATAGGAGATTCCATACGAATATCAAATAAATGAGACCATTTTATCAACTTTATGTAATAGTTGTTAAAAAATATGATCTATGAGAGAAAACTCTACTGTAGTCTAGATCATTAATCAACTTAATGAGAACATGCGATGGATTCAAAAGCATCATGGAAAACTAGCCAATGAGTTTGATGTTAAAGAAAAAACCTATGAATAGCATCAAGATTTAGACAATGAGACAAAAAATTGCCAACCAAAGAGTATTGAAGAGGAGCCGCAAGCACTAGGATCTTCTCCTCCAAAATCCAAAGCTACGGAATTACGAATAACATCAAGATTCGGACGATTAGCTGAAAATTTGCCAACCAAAGAATACTGAAGAGGAGCCGCAAGCGCTAGGATCTCCTCCTCTGAGATCCAAAGCGACGGAAGACCACAACAAGTAGAAGTTTTAAGGTCAAAAAATCTTGCGTCATAGGTGAATTCTTAGAGGGCATAAAGAAAAGAACGAGATTTGGCTAATCCATCGAAAACCTGGATCAACTAAACAATTCACCACCATTTCGGCCGAAGGTGGACAAACCAAGACAACAAACAAAAAAAAACAAAAGAAAAGAGGCAGACGCCCTGCAATCGCAACGGAAAGGAGGCGGCCATAGCTATACTAAAAACTGATTTATAAAACAATAAGAAAATTGTCCCAAATGAAACCCCTAATGTATTATACTTTTTTAACTAGGATTTTGCCCGCGTGCATATTGTTTTTAAGGCCCACAGCCTACTGGATATTTTAAGTGGGCCGCCAAGGCCAGTGAGTTATTCTCTAATCCCAAGCCTATCTCAGCCTCAGTATAAGACCCGGTCATTATTATTAATTTAATCATAATCAGATCAATTTAACTACAAATTATAATTTATACCATCTTTTTGAGAAATAACGGCATCCAATTTTCTTTTAAAATTGTAATATTCATCATAAAATTTAAATGCTTATAATTTAAAATAATTATCAGTTAATGATAATATAAAAATTAGTTAAAATATATCTTTTAACAATTCTAAATCCTAGCAATTCAAAATCAAATATTAATTGTGAATGTTGTTGAAAGAAAATATGCTCCTTATATCATTAAATTCATCAAATTTTTAAAAAATTAATTTTATTTTTGCATGATTAAATTCATCAAATTTATAATAATTTAATTATTCATCGAGCATATAAAAAATAAATAATATGTTATATGATATATTTTTTTCTTTTAAAATCAAGTATATATTATTAATCAAAACAAGCATGTAATATATTATTATAAACACACATATTAAAAGCCATTTTATTAATTTTTTATTATAAAATTCTAATTATGATCTCAAATAATTAAAATTCTTTAATTAATCATCAAAGTTCTTTTTATAATTTAAAATTTTAAATATTGCCACATTTAATGTGTTGAAGAAAATATTTGAACTTAATGGCATAAAATATTTTATTGCATAGAGTAGAAAAAAATTATTAAGAGATATGGATGCCACCAAGACAACAATTGACATCTCTTGACTCATCAAATTCTTTAATAAATATTTATTTTCATAATAAAATTATCGACTTTAATTTACAAAATTGTATCAAAATTTCATTATAAAATTTATATCTTGATATTAAAAAGTTTCTAAAAAAGTGGAATTTGGTTGGCCGTCACCATAAATCATTTCAAAATTTCAGCAATGTTTCATTATCATGCTAGATAAAACTGGTTGATAGATTGGGTTCGAGTCATTTTCAAAATTAATTTGAACTAAATCTATTTAATTTGAATCTGATCCATCGAATAAATAGATAAAAAAAGAGTCCAAATCTGACCCGTTAATAACCCGAACTAGACCTGATAACCTATTTTAATTAAAAAATATTTTTATTTTCTTATATTAATAAATTTTAGGTCTCTTTATAAAAAAGAAGAATATTACACTAATAAATAAAAGAAATTAAGATAAAAATATTAAATGGGTCAAATTCAGGTTGGTGGGTCAACTCAAATTGTCTCCGTTTAATAAAGGATCGAAATGCACGACCTGAACTCGACCCTTTTATAAAATGAGTGAGCCTGAACCTAAATTTTTATGCTTTGAGGTGGTGGGTCAGGTCATTTATTGACACATCATTAATTTTAGATATTATTCAATAAAGTATGCAAAATTTTATTTTAAGAGTTCCTTTGAGATAATTAAGACAAATTCATATATAAATCATTTAAAGTAAGCTTTAATCCAAAATCCTTTAATTAATAGCTAAACATCTTAACCCTCAGATATATCGATCATAATTATTGCCTGTACATTGGATTAAAATTGACCGTACAATTTTAGATAAATGTAAAGTGAGAGAATTTAGATTCCAACAAAATAAAAAGGAAAAGAAAACACAGACAGAATGTAAAAGCAAAAGCTATTTTAGGTGAATTATTGAAAGTTTTTTTTTAGGAGAATTATTGAAAGTTCTTTGAAAATATTCTCTCAAATTAAATTCATTTATCAATAAAATATTGATGAAAGAATATCCTAATTGCAATGTAAAATTTTCAAGAAGATTCCTTTTTCGTAGAAGTGATGTTGAATGGATGAGTTTAAGGGAGCCTTTTTAATGTATTCATAATAATAAGTGATTGATTTAGGTTTCGTTTAAGACAGTTTTCTTATTGCTTCTTAAAGCAGCTTTTTAGTACTAGAAAGTTGTTTTAAGAAGAACTAAGAAAGTTGTCTCAAACGAAGCCTTAGATTTACGACTTGTTCAGGATGGCTACAACTTTTTATAAGGGTTGATGTGAAATTGTTGTGTGAAAAATAGCATTTTTTGAAGGTTGTTGTAGAAAGTTGAGTCCTAACACAAAAAGGTTTTGAAAGCAATGAAGAAGCTATAGCCAAACAGACAATGATTTGAAAGACAATGTAGTGAGAAAGCTATGTTATGCGTGAGCGGATCCAACTTCTTTTTTCAGGGTAGGCAATTTTTTTTTTTTGTAGGGGATGAGCAAAGACACTTATGATTGATAAAATTAGGGCAAAATTTTTTTAAGAGGGGACAAAATACCAAAAATACTCAAAATATTCCAAAATATACCCTCTAAAATAAATAAAAAATTTTTTGAGGGTGGACATTTGCCCCCCTCAATCCAATGGGGATCCGCTCATGATGTTATGTGCTAGAAAATTTATGATTTTTTAAATGAAATGGCAATTTATTCAAAGAAGGAATGAAACATACAAAACAAGCCCAAAAAAAGACCAAAACAAGAAAAGAACTGCTAAAATATTACAAAATCGACAGAATTCAAAGCAATATGAAAATAAAAGGAAAAAGAAGCTCCCTAAAGGCAGCCCGAAGTCAGAAACACCACCCAGCTGCCAGGCCTGGACCATCCTTGGAGATAGAGCAGACAATCATCAGAAGCAGAGCCCAGCATTGGGTACCTATACCCACACCCACCCATGTACCCACCCATACCCAATGGGTATGGGTGGGTATGGGTACGCCCATGGCCTTATGGGTGGGTATGGGTAGGTATGGGTGGGTACTCAACATAAGGGGATAAATCAATTTGCATTGATAATCATCGTATATCTTATATTAGTGCAATTATCATTACGTAATGTGCAGCACTTAACCATGCTGTGACTACGATAAATTTTGATATGCTTCTTAAAAGTTTACAATCATAGCAAAATGGAAACAAGCCTCAAGGCCATCAATCTGTGGCAAACTGCATTAAAAAAGCATGGAATGTGGGTGGGTATAGGTGGGTATGGCATCCCGAAA